ATAAGCAAATGTTTGCATGGTAACACACTGAAGATGATGAACATGAACATGGTAAATATTATGTTAGCATTTTCTCTAAACCTGTTACCATGTTGATATTAGCATTTACCTCAAAGCAACAGACAACCATGCAAATTAAACCGTATACAGATTTGTAACTTGTGGTCTATTTTAAATGTTTAACTGCTCAGGACTACCCAGTTCAGCGATGGGCAGACATAACTTCACTGGAGGGAAAATACACCAATAAAACAGGCGCAGCGACAGACTGATAGCTCCAGTTGTATTTCAGCCACAAAAACAGCAGCCTGCAGACGTCATCTGGAGTCAAACAGTAATGGATATGATGCATTGCATTAGTTCAGGCAGAGAATCGAAGTCCCAGTAAACAATAGCAGCAAGCAGAGGTTGATAAACTCGAGCTGTAATACATCAAAAAAATTCTGAACTCGATTTCTTTTTCCTGTTTTGCTTTTTAATACAAACAACAGTTTATTTCTGCAGCCTTAAATGATATTCCAGCTCTTTCATCACCCGAGAAGACTGGAGCAAAATTAAACACCTGTTGTTCTAATGTTGTTTCTGTGTGTCTACATTTATTTATTGTTTCTTTACATATTTCCATCGAGGCACAGCTGCGTTTTGTTCTGCAGTGGGTGGATCTACCTTTCCTCCTCCTGGGATTCACTCACTGGTCCCAACATCCTCACATTTCAGCCAGAAATGAGTTTATACTCCACTTGTGTTATTGGGTCTTACAAATAAAATAGCAGTGTTGTTTTAATTGAGTTCTTATTGGATTTGTGGTTTCTCTCACATGCAGTAACTCACAGGTGGCACATTTAATCGCAAACTCTGCAATAGCAGTTTCCAGATCTATGTCCTGCCACAGGGCTGCTGCTCCCACTCCTGCCTGTTCACTCTTCATCTCTCAGGGAAGAAAAATGTTTGTTTTGCTTTTTCTGTTTCTCAGTAAATCTAAACCGGTCCACTTTGTCTTTTAAATTAATATGTCCTCTACCTGCTGAGGTCATTACAACAGCTCTGAGCTCACTGGACATCTTCTGAGCAAAGTGGTATTTTAGCTGGTTAAAGAAGGAAATGAACTCCTGCTGACTCAGCACAAACAGCTGCTTCAGTTTATCACAAGATCGAAGCTAGAATACAGCAGAAACCTGTAATTAGAATATTCTGGATAGGGAATGCAAAACACACAGTACAGTATTATCAATAAGAGGAGTGTAAATCTGTGAAGAGAGGGAGGAAGGGTCCAAAGTTTATAACCTGTATCTCAAAGAAAAGGAAATATTACTTATTTAGCTTAATATAAAGCCTCAAACAGGCGAGGAGTTGATGATCATTATACTCTCCTGGATTTGACAGCATCAATCAGGTGCTGTCGAGCAGACTGACATGGAAACTTCCACGTCTTTTGGTTTGTTTGCTTTTGGTTTTCATTTGCTTGTATTACTTGTTTGTGTGATGTGCTCTAAACTTATTTTGTGACATATAAAACAAAAACAAAACAATTTAATTCAGAGGACCTCTGAGAACAAGGGGCAAGCACCCAAAACTAGCATTAGATCACATTAATTCATCCTTTGTATCTTCACTGTGAAGTGATCCTATCCAAACATGGCTACACTGAAAACAGTGGGGGGAAACATGCACCTTCATCGACTTCATCATATCAAATTACTCATTTCTTTGTTGTTTCTGTGATGCTATGCTGCCTTTGTGAAACAATGCTAGATGTGTGACTAAAACCACATTAATTGCAGCATATTTCAATAAACAACAATAATATGTTGAATTCTGAAACAAGAATGCCAGACAACATTTAGCACAGCCAAGGCTTTTGTAGTCTGAAAGTAGTTTCTACAAACCGACTGTGTTTGCAAAAGCAGTTAATGTCTGCTAGGACACTGCTGATATGAGCTCGCTAGTTAAACAGAGGTGAGCACTGTAACCATCCACAGCTATAACTCACCCAGCAGTAGATGTGACTGGTCAGCTATACACTAAAGAAGCAGCTGTTGCTGTTTGTTACCTAAGGATGCCACCAAGTGGAGCTGTTGGTGATGTTTTGGAGGGACGGTCCCGTCACCTCACACTGTGTGACTGTGTGACACCAGAGGTGCTTTGTCCAACGGAAACATCTGGCTCTTAATATCCACACACACTCCTGTGGGAACATCTATTTATTGGTTCATCCAAACTTCAATCAAACATCATTCAAACCTTTAACCAGAAACACATCTCCACCCTAATATAAGCAGTTAACTTTTAGGACCACATGTCTGAGCTCACAGAAAGAAGGCGAGGCCCCATAATGTGAACAGACGTCCACACGCCAGCAAATCTTCTCGTTGGCACAAAGTGTGTCATGAAATTTGACATTTGATGAAATTCTGAATATTGTTAAAGTTTCAAATGATGCAGAGCCCTTTTAAAAAATTCAGTTTAAACATGATACACATTTTACTGAAGATGTTACAAAACTTAATTTCAATGAAAATGTTCTACAAAAGTTTTTTGATACAAAAACCTATGTACAAGTTGCTGTTCAGCTGGTTTACAAAACAAAATAAAAAGCTAGAAATAAAACAGTCTTAGTTGGAAGTGAAACCTGTAACTTTGAAATAACTTTGTGGAATGTAAGTTTTCTCTGCCTATAATGAATCTTCTAATATTCCAAACCTGCCCTGAAGTTTACTCTCAGGAAGTCAGTTTCAGTCTGTGAACAGGGGAAGTTCAGACTGAGCCGCTCTACTGTCAACAAACACACTTTCTTCCCTCCATTCAGTTTGTTGTTTGTGTTTAGTCTTGAAGAAAAACAAAAGGACAAAGCGGTTTGGTTTCTGTTGGCCAACGTCTGAACTGCAGCGGGCTGACAGACGCTGTTCCTGCTTATTAAGAAACATGGCAATGAAGTTTCAGTGCTTTCAGGTGAGATACAGGATAACAAGGAATCATTTTCTCTGTTAAGTTC